GTGACTGGGTGGGCGTGGCCAACTTGTAAAAAGTGGGGAAGCTCACTTAACAACGCTCTTGCTTAGCAACCAAAATTTTGCCTCAGACACTCTGGCATTTGAAGCACGCAAGTCTTAAAGCTGTCAAGTTACAAGACCCTTGCACCCCTAACCCTTTAGAAAAAAAAAAAACCAGGGGTGTTCAAACTTGAGAGCTTTAAGACTTGTGGACTTCAACTCCCAGAATTCCTCCTCTTGCTCTTCATCTTGATGATGTGCGGACAGGCGGGCGGGGAGCTGGAACCGGTTCTAAATGTCACTGTAGATTTGTGGAACCTCTTCTATAGAAGAGTTAGAACTGGCAGGAACCCATCCCTATGCTCTTGCTTTGCTTGTTGAAACTGTATAAAACCTGCTGTGATGGATTTCTGAGACCAGCAGGAGAGGAGATTCTACACTTTTAATTGTACTAAACTGCCCGGGAATTACCAGAGCTGCTTTTGCATTCATTCTGTGCTGAAATGATGTACTCAATAAAGTTTTGCATAGTGATGGGATAGTCTCAACAATGGCTGCTTTGATGGGTTCATACTGGAACCTTGATAGGCACTTTCTTAGTGTCATGGAAGACTCGGTAGGGTAGCCTACTGAGAGGAAAGGAGCATCTGACCGAGGCTTCTCGAGAACATGAAGCAAACTCCTAGCAAAACCCCCTTTTATTAATCTATAGTGAGTTCTGCTCATTCACATCCAGCAAAGTCTTTCGAGGGAGGATTTACAGTCACAGACCTTATCTGGCTTGGAGAGCTGCCAGGCCGAGATCGGCAAAACCTGGCAAGGAGTCTCGGAGAGTCTCGAACCAATTAAGCAAATTGTCTCTTGCAAACTCCACTCCCCTTTTATTTCCTCTGGGAGGGGCCATTCACCCTCCACCTGTGGTCTTACTCCTCTGTCGACCCGTTTTTTTTAGCTGTTCCCTTCATCTGGCAGCTCTGCGCATGGGCATACTGGGAACAGGCTCCAGCTGTTCATCTGCCTCACTGAAGTCTGACTCTGAAGGCAGCTGATAACTGGCATACGTCCCTGGCCCCCTCTCTGCCTCCGACACAGAGTGCTCATCTGAGCCTTCCCCAGACTCTAGGACTGGCCCAGGTTCCTCCCCAACCTCCTCACTGTCTGAGTCTGCTGCCAGCTCTGCTGGTGCGCCACCACACACAACAGTGGAAAAGGCTATACTCTGACATGCCGAAGGGGGCTACCAGAACCTTAGGGGGTAACTGGTTAAGAGGATGCAGCAAGGAGCACACCCAGTTACTGTGCTGCGATCTCCTCACAGTTCTGCCTCGTTCAATTGCTGATCTCGACAACTCTAGTCGATGTGTTCTGCCTTGACGGCAATACTTCCTTTCCAGCCAGAGGAAGGGACATGAACCATTCCTTTGCCGCTGTCACTGAGAAATGAACTTCCGGTCGTATTTGCAAGCTTAAGGGAGCCTCTTTTGGCCGAACCCCTGGAGCAAAGGAGGCTGCCTGTGGAGCAGCGAGAGGCACCTCCTGTCCAAAGAGCTGGTTCACCCCTTGCTAATGAAATTGGGCCTGATTCAGCAACAGCTGGATGTGATCTGCGACCCATTTGGGGTCCCTGATCACACCGGGAGAACCTTCTTTTGGGATACTGCAAGACAGCAAGGCTTCCCAACTCAAGGGGGACCCGAATTCTGAGCCTGAACTGCCTTGGGGCGAAGACAGGCATCAAATTATAGAGCAGCCCCCCCCCTTCCCCGCCACCATCCTCAGCCTGGCAAAATCAGCACCCTAAAAAGCAGGATGCTAGCCTCCCAGAGGAACACCTGTCTTACTGCCACAGGGGAGCAGAGTACCACGCATCCATGGGGTGTTAAAGTTTGCCTTCCTGGATTATGTGCTTTCCAGACTGTGTGAAGGGTGGGGGGCACACAGTCCCCCACTGGGCATACAAGAGGGGCCTGCGATCAGCCCTGTCCTTTGCCTAGCAACCTTCTCTAGCCATGTCAACCATTGATCCCTGTGGCTACTTGCCCCTCCCAGGAGAAGCCCATAAGACAAGAGAGGAGCAGCATGCCCCCCCCCGCCAGGAGAGATGCCCGTCCAAAAGCAGCCTTCTTCAGGCACCGCCAGTCTATCGATCAGAATAGAGGTGGAAGGGACCTTGGAAGTCTTCTAGTCCAGCCCCCTACTCAAGCAGGAGATCCGATACCACATATATGTCCTTGGTGTGGCGCTATTGCTGACATGGAGGGATACATGGCTGGTTGCCTCATATGTCCTTCACCAAAAGGATANCTCCCTTGTTTTATTGTAAGCCGCCCGGAGTCCTTCGGGAGTGGGCGGCATACAAATCAATAAAACTATAAACTAAACTATAAATTTAACCTTAAGTTCCCTATTCAGGATTGGCTTAGACTCAAATTTCTCTTCTCAAAGGCCTGAGCCTGGATCAGTGGCTACTTGGGAGTTTTCCCAGAATTGTGGTGGGATTGTCTTGACCTGATCCCTCAGCTGGACCTTTGACTTCCCCAAAGGAAGAGGCAGAGATGCTGGTCCCCCTCTTCCACCCTTCTGCCCCACCCCCAGCAGACAGAACACCAGTCCCCCCCCACACCCCCTTCAAAAGTACCATTGTCTCTCTCAACTCACAGCACAGGGCTGTGTATAAAAAGCACCCAGCAAGATGCCTTCAAAACAAAGGAGGGGGGGGAGAGGCGGGCGCTCTGGGGAGGAATCACAAGAGACAGTCATGAGGTAATTCATGTTTAAAATTTTAATAAGAATTTTCTTTTCCATTTCTTGGAAATCAAAGTAAAGTCGCAATAAACAATCGCGGGCCAAATTTTTTACAAATTAGGATTGAACTGATGAAATCACCCCATCGGGACAAGGAAAGCAATCACACACTGGGCAAGCCCCAGAATTTTTCCTGGGCATTATTTTTTTTTTCCTTCTGTGGTGGAAAGAAGAGGGCATTGGCCACGCCCTGAAAAAGTGGGGGCATTGGGGGGAGAGAAAGGCCCAAAGAGGTAGCAGCCGCAGAAGAGCTGCTTCAGCATTTCTTGAGATGCAAGTTTATATATACGTTGTTTTAGGGAAACAACCGGAGAAACATCGTCAGAGCTTCGTGCCGTCGGTCTATGAGGACTTGGCAGTCTCTTTTTCCTGTTCAATGGCTGGGGAGAGAGAAAAAAGGCCCTTGAGCGTTAATGGTCACTGAGCCTGCCTTCCAGACACCCTACACCCTTGGTCCCTAGTCTGGGGTTGAGGGGGAAAGAGGGCACTTTCTGGGTAGCCTAAACCAGTGGTCTCCAACCTTGGCAACTTTAAGACCTGTGGACTTCAACTCCCAGAGTTCCTCAGCCAGCTTTGCTGGCTGAGGAACTCTGGGAATTGAAGTCCACAGGTCTTAAAGTTGCCAAGGTTGAGGATCACTGGCCTAAACCTATTGGGAAGATCTGCTGGGTAATCCAACTGCACCCGGGTTTTACCGCTTCCCATCGGGACCCCCGCCCTGGCCCAAGTTCTGCAAGCCAGGCCCTCAAGCTCAGGAACCCAGGGGAGACCCCACCTTATTGGGAGGCAGCTCATTTTCCCAGGATTTTAAACTCTGTGAAATGCTGTGTTTTTGTTTTTTTCCTGTACAGTCACCACTTCAGCCACCCGGAGACTTTGCCAGGGCTGCAACTCCAGGGAAAGAATCCCATCTCAGCAGGGAAACTGGACTTCCAGACCGGCTGGCCAATTCCCACCAACCAGTAGGGCGGTTGGGCATTGCTCAACGATCATAGGCTGAGATAGCCCTGCCTGAAAGCTTGCCGGGCTCCAAAGGTTGGGCTCTCTCTCTCTCTCTCTCTCTCTCTCTCTCCAAGCCTCTCTCCCCGCTCAAGAGTCTTGGCCAACGAAAGAATCCCATCTCAGCAGGGAAACTGGACTTCCAGACTGGCTGGCCAATTCCCAGTTGCCACCAGTAGGGCGGTTTGGCATTGCTCAACGATCATAGGCTGAGATAGCCCTGCCTGAAAGCTTGCCGGGCTCCAAAGGTTAGGCTCTCTCTCTCTCCAAGCCTCTCTCCCCGCTCAAGAGTCTTGGCCAACCCGTTGCAGCTGCCGGAGGGGCCCCGCCCCGCCCCACCTACTTACTCTCCTTGGACGGCAGCGTGTTCTTCTCTTCCGTGTTGGTTTTTTTCAGCTTCTTCTTGTCGAACTTCTCCACCTCCGACAGATCCGGTTTGTCGCACATCTTGGCCAGACGGGAAGCGAAACCGAGACTTTTTCAGAACTGCAAAAAAAAAAAAAAACCACGTGGGTCCTGGCGGGGCGGCCGGAGGAGTTTTAAAAAAAAGGGGGGGGGGGTTGCCAGACGCAGCCCCAAGACCGGCTGGGCGGAGGGGCAGATCCCGGGAGGATGTTGGGGGGGGGGGGGAAGTAAGCCCGCTGCCCCTTCAACCCCCAAGCCAGGCTCCGGCACGCCCCTCTCTCGCCTTGGCCCCGCTTCCGAGCCACCACCCACCCTCTCGCTCGCCTTAACGCCGCAGTCCCGTCCCCCCAAGACAGTCCTTGCAAGCCCGCCGCGCCCAGCAAGGGAGAAAGCGCCTCTCTGCCCGTGCAGGGGAGGCCGCCCCGCCCCATCCACCCCGCTGCCGCCGCTGCTTACCTGTACAGCCACCTCTGTCCTCCGCGCGCTCTGAGCCAGCGTGTCAGGGCAGCCCTTTATATCTGGCGGCCGGACCGCGGGGCACCTCGGGAAGTGTAGTTTCTTTTTCCCCGCACGGGGAGGTGCCGCGCCCTGGCAGCCCACACGCTCCTCGGGGTGTGTCCGGCTCGAGTGGAGCGATGCCCGCCCGGCCCGGCGGCTTCCTTGGGGGCGCCTTGCCTGCTTTACCCCCGGGCTGCGCGCAGCCTTTTCTCCAAGCCGAACAGGGCGCGGCGGGGGTGCTACCGCGCTCTGCCCACCCGCGAGCCTCACGGCTGCCCAGCCCGATGCCCTGGCCAGAACCCAGCAGCTGCTGGCTGCGGATGATGGGAGCTGAAATTCAGGGGGCTTTTGCGGCCGCCGATGGGCGGTGGCGGGGCGGGGCCTCCCCCCCCCCAGGAGCCTCGGCGGGAGAGCGGCTGGTTTCGCAGATTTGACCGTCGGGCGGAGAGCGGGGCTCGGGGGGCTTGCATAGGCTGTAGGACACGGGTGTCCAAGCGTGGGGACTTTAAGGCTTGTGGACTCCAACTCCCAGAATTCCCCAGCCAGCATGGCTGGCTGGGGAATTCTGGGAGTTGAAGTCCACAAGTCTTAAAAGTTCCTGAGCTATGCTGGCTGGGGAATTCTGGGAGTTGAAGTCCATAAATCTTAAAAAGTTCCCAAGTTTGCGGTAGGAAGACGTGACGGTTGCGAAAGTTTGCAAGGGGGCGTGAATGGGGAAAGGCGGCTTTTGTGAGGAACCTCCCGGCTCTTGGGTCGAGCCAGGACCCGCTTTGGAATTCCCGGGTAGCCCAACTCGCCCCCCCGGGCTCAGAAGTCGTCGCAGCCCCCGGCCCGCAAGAAACGGGGAGGGACGGCAGCGGGCGCAGCAACCTTCAGGGCGCCGCCCTGCTAAGCGCCGCCTCCTGGCAGGTGGGCGGCCCGGCTAGCTCCGTTTCCCTCGCCGGAGATGCGGCTTTGCGCACCGCCCAGCGGTGGAACTGAGCCTGGGAGCCTGGCCCGCGCTCGACTGCCTTTTTCTGTCTTAAATAAGCCTAGCGCCTATTTAATATTTGAATTTAGGTTTCTGTCTTTCAAGCTAATCTAAATACAGTAATCAGATATTGGGGCAAAACAGTGCGTATCCATTCTCTATTCTCTTATCACAGGGCCGCCTTTTTTATTGCTTTTAATAAAACATTTCTACCTTTAAAAACAGAAAGAACAACACAAAACAACAAAAGCAAAACAACAAAACACACATAACACTATACGGTAATTACGCAGGGCTACCTTAACAGCATTAGGGGCCCTGGGAAAGGCAGTGTTAAGACAGCTACCTGCAGGAATAAAAATGTGAATGGTCGATAAAATTAAACATATTTATTTGACTGGCCCTTCCAACAAAACCGGTGTTGAAACATTAAAAGCATGTTGTGCGGCGACAACGAACCAACATGATAAATATTTGAATAATACGCGATGCTTGAAAACCACAATGATAGTAAGCCGTACAGTTGCTGCATGTATGTGATACAAGGTGCATTGAACGGTTGACATACACAGATTAGTGTATGTTAACCGCCCCTATGCTCCATCACCCAAACCCATCAGTCCCCTGCGTTAAGGCAGCTGTATCCTTCCTTGCAAGCTGCAAACCATTGGTTAGTGAATTGTGGGAAGACGCATAGCTGTTTCCTATGCCGATAAAAGTTAAGTGCACACTTAAAAAAAAAGACAAGTCTACAACAATTTGGAAATTTTATAAAGGCACAAGTGATGGAATATACATGCCCGAATTGTCCAACACGTTCTGCTAGTGGGCTCCCAATCGACATAGTGGTTACTGGAAACTGTGGGTACACCAAACAGGCCAGGAATAATAGCAATTAGATTTATATACCGCTTCATAGGGCGTTCAGCCCTCTCTAAGCGGTTTACAGAGTCAGCATATTGCCCCCAACAATCTGGCTCCTCATTTTACCCACCTCGGAAGGATGGAAGATAAACCAGCTTGTTAACTCATAACAGCTACACTTATCAAGTATCAAAATTAATGTAGGCCTTGAGTCTACATATAATTGTGGCCACAAGAATAACTTATGCACAATTTTGGAAATCCACTACCATACCGTCGGAAGATGCCATAATTAAAAAAAATTTCTATGAATGTGCAGAAATGGACAGAATGACGGGTTGGCTGAGGGACAAAGGAGAAACGGAACATTATCTTAGCTGGAACCTATGGTATATGTGGGCGACAAGGAGAACAGCANCTTAGCTGGAACCTATGGTATATGTGGGCGACAAGGAGAACAGCAGGGACTTAAAACGGGGGAAAGTTAAAAGTGAACATGGGTATTGTAATAGATCCCTGAATTTTGTAATGAGAAGATGTGGTTTAGAGAGACCTAACAATGAGGAAGGGAAAAAAAAGCTGGGCTGTGAATGACTGTCACCGCGTGGGGGGGGGGAAGGGGGGGTTGTATGTTTAAAATTGTATTTGTATGTTTTACTCTTTAAAAAATGTATAACTAATAAAGATTACTTTAAAAAAAATTAATGTAGGCCGCTAAAATTCAGCTCAGCTGAAGAGAGTTTATAAAAATAGTATTAATTATTAACTAAAAGCTGTTGTAATATAGTTACTGCTGTTGAATCTCACAAAAAGCAAAGCATGTCCTTTCTCCAGAGGCTCCAAGACTCCAAGTTGTCTGATATAATTGATTACGTGGGTTCCAATCATTTAAGCCCCAGCTTCATTCACAAATTGGCATAAGGATTACAAATAACGCACCCACCCCAGTGGATTAAATCGGGGTTTAATCCTGCTGTGAATGTCCAGCTTGCAACATGCATGTAAGAGCAGAAATCATTATTGCTCTCTCCCCACCCCCCCCGCAGCCCCTGCGGGAAAGTAAAAAATGCTTCCTGCTAGGCCACTGGGATCCAGTTGAGAGCAAAACAGAGCTTTCTGGAGCGCCGGTGAAATCAGTCCAGATGTGCTCGCAATCTTCAGATTTCTACAGAGTCCCCAAGTGAACCAAGTCCCCCAGTTCTGAGTTCATTCTGCGCTTCTGCCCCCCCCCCCCATCCCCATCCTGATACTGATCGATTCCTCCATTGGGAGGGGGCAATTCTCATTTCCTTCTCATTCTCCATTTCCACCATGTTGGCAGGTTGCTCTGAAGGCTTGGCCAGTCCTTAGCTGGTGACCTTGGACAAGTACTGGTAGATGGCTGTTGTGAGCCCCCAGGTGAGGCTTGACCGGAGAATGAGGAGCGACCCGCCCCTGTACAACAGCCGGGCTTGTCTTCCCCGGATCTGCCAGATCTCAGCCACCGTGGCCGAGAGGCCGAGGATTTCCTGCCTCCCCACTTGGGACTGCACGTTGGCAATGAGGATGCCAAGAGGGTAGAGCAGCAGGGAGACCAGAGTGCCACTAAGGCTGCCCGACAGAAAGGCTGGGACCCCAAGAGGCAAGCTCTGTGCGGAGAGGCTGCTACGGAGGGGCTCTTCCAGGGCAAAATAAAGGGAAGTCCCCAGGCCGTTACGGATCAGGAGAAGCCCGAGACCTCGGTAGAAGCCCAGGCTGAAGCTCTCCCCGAGAGGGTAGGAACGGAAGGTGGACAGGATGTGACGTGTGGTGGGGAATCTCTGGACCTTCCTCCCGTCCTGGAGCACGTTCTGCACCCTCTCGAAGGGACAGAAGACCAAGGCTTCCAAGAAACCGGAAAACAGCCCAGCTACGGCTCTCCGGGACCAGGACCCCAAGGGCTGAGCCGAGAGGAAGTCGTAGCAGCTGTTGTAAGTGCCAAACATCAACGTTCCTTGCAGGGTCTTGACCATGAGTGGTGGGAAGACGCCGCGGTAGATGCGGCGGAAGCCTTCGTGGTACAGCTGGCGCACCGCTTTGGGGACGGAGAAGGCGTGCAGTTGCTGGCGGAAGATGGTCTTGTATATAGGGAAGGTGGCCAGGGTGGAGAGGCTGCTGGAGGCAGCGCCCACGAAGTAACTCCGCCAAGCCCTTGGCCTTCGACGCTTCTCGGTCTCCTCCTCCATCGCTGCGGAGCGCCGGACGTCTCTGTGGGAACAGCGCACGGGTCACAGCCCCGGGTTCTGAACGGTGGAGTTGCCATCGCGGTGGCAAGTGGAGGAAAGATTTCAATTGTAATTAAAATGTAATCTTTAAATAAAAAGGAATCTGGGCCCTTAGGCCTGAAGTGGGGGCCACAGGCATCCCCCTCCCCCCCGGGAAGGATGACTTCTGATATGTCCTCTCTGCACAGACAGCCCCTCCTGCTTCCACTTAAGTCTCTTTACGCTCCAATAATTAGATGTTTCTTCTGGAGCCAGATTTCTGAAGCTGTTTCAAAGTTGTCTACCAGACCCTTTACGATAGAAATCCAATTGGCTTTAAATCCCTGCTCACCAAGCAGGAATGAGAAGCAGGTGGGCCTTTTGGGTTCAAAAGATAATCAGAAAATCAAAGTTTTAGTGTTGGCTCAGTGCTGTCATAAAAAATAATGCCTGTCAAATGAAAAGACCCCAAGGGAGCAGGTATACCTCCTGATCTTTGCTGCTTTATGCTGGCATTGCACAGCATGAGATAGATAGATAGATAGATAGATAGATAGATAGATAGATAGATAGATAGATAGATAGATAGATAGATAGATAGATAGATAGATAGAAGTTTATTTATATGCACCCACCCTAATGAGATGTTTCTCATTAAAGATTGCCGATTCTCTCCCTGCAGCCCGTGGGTTTTTCTGAAACCACAATACTCAAATCTACTCTTACCAATTCTACTGTTTTNAAACTAATCAAGGAGAGAAGCAACTTAGAACTGAGGAGGAATTTCCTGACAGTTAGAACAATGAATCAGTGGAACAGAAGTTGCCTCCAGAAGTTATGAATGCTCCAACATTGGAAGTTTTTAAGAAGATGCTGAATAGCCATTTGTCTGAAACGATATAGGGTTTCCTGCCTAGGCAGAGGGTTGGACTAGAAGACCTCCAAGGTCCCTTCCAACTCTGCTATTCTATTCTAATAGGTCCCATTAGAATTTGCTGTCTATATGCCAAGTGGCAAGTTTAGTATTGAAAATCTTCATTGCAGCCCCCTAATTGCCTGTCAGATAGTGAATGACAGGCAGAGCTCAGAGGTGATGCATATGGTGAGAAGCCAGATGTGCTGTGTAAATATCCCTCTACCGTAAAATCCGAGCCCAATTTAACATATCTCCCAGTGTAAGTTTTGGAAGGAAACATACTGGTTATTCATTGATGCCAGCCTATAGGGTTAGATTTGCTAGAGCAGCCTTTTTTCAAAACCTAGTATTATCAATATATAAAGAAATTGAAATTAGGGAAACATGGTGCAATTGAGAAGGGAAACAGGTAAGGAAACGCATGAAAAGATTAATCTGCCAATTCCTCTGTGCTCAGCTGCCCTTAAATTACAAGAAAAAAGCTGTTCCTCTGCAGATGCCCCGTTTCAAGTTGAGAAAAATCTGTTTTTAGCTAATAACTTTGTATTTCCAGTTTAGTTCCATTAACCTGTTGGTAGAATCCGTTCGGACGCGGCATAATTTCATTTATTTGGAAGGCACCAAGACCTGCTTTTAAATCCCTCCTTCCCCCCCTCCCAATAATGAACTCCTGTCTCTCACGTACAATCAAAACTTTATTTAAACAGTAGAAACAACCAAAGTTTGCATATTTACAATTTTTCTCTTTCAAGAGGGACATCAGCAAAACTCCAGGGTTATTTACAGAAGGGAATTTTGATTTTATTCAACACCCACCTCCCACCCACCCCCCAAAAATACCAGCATCTTTCTTCTCTCGGCATGCAGTTCCTCGGTTTGTGACCTGGTCACAACAAACATTTGAAGTTACTGCAGAAATCATTAAGTTACCAGAGAGGTCCCTAAACTTGGCGACTTTAAGACTCGCGGACTTCAACTCCCAGAATTCTCCAGCTGGAGAATTCTGGGAGTTGAAGTCCGGACATCTTCAAGTTGCCAAGGTTGAGAAACACTGATCTATCTAAGCAGATCGGAGCTTCCATGGCATAATCCTGGGCTCCCTCTTGGCCTCCTCTGGCCATAGGCAGTTCCAGCAATTCTGCCAACTCTCAAATTTGGAAATGTTCCAGCAAAAAAAAGTTATTTCTTCCACCCAGTTTGATCAACCAGAAGAATTGAATGTTGATGTCAACCTTGTCACATTATCTTAACACTTAGTCAGTCCTCGACTTATGACCACCATTGAGCCCAAACTTTACTCTGGCCATTGGAAGAAGTCCCTTCCTTCCCCTCACTCTTCCACCCTTCCTTCCCTTCCGTTTTCTTCCCCTGCTCTTTTCCTCCCTCCCATACTTTACTCCCTTTTCTTTCTTTTTCTTCTTTCCCTCAATCTTCCCTCCCTTTTCTTTATTTTTCCTCCTTTGCTTTTTCTTTCCTGCTTTCCTTCCTTTGCCCGTCCTTCCTTTTTTTCCCCTCCTCCCTCCCTCCCTCCCTCCACTTTTCTATGCTCCCTCCCTCCGTGTGCATTCAGTGTGTGCCACTCACTTCTTCTAGCAACCTTCGGGAAACACACAAACACACAAGACAGAAACTGCCTGGCTGGAGAGTCCTGGGAACTTTGCCACAAAGAGGGGAGGGGGGAATGGAAGCCCTCTACCCAGACAGGTCCTCCACCTCCTACTTCTGCTGCTGCTGCTGTTGGCTTGACCTTTAGACCTTCCCTAGTGGTCAGTGCCAGGGAAGCAGAAGGCTTCCCAGGTGGCTCTTCCGATCCTCCCTCAGTAGATTCTGGCACTACTTCAGTTCCATTGGCATTATTGGTATTTCATGTTCACCTAATATGAACGTGATATTATTGGGGACTGGAGACTTAAAACATAGGAGGAACGGTTGCAGGAACTGGGGATGTCTAGTTTAATGAAAAGAAGGACTAGGGGAGACATGACAGCAGTCTTTGAATATCTCAGGGGTTGCCCCAAAGAAGAGGGAGTCAAACTATTCTCCAAAGCATCTGAGAGTAGAACAAGAAGCAATGGGTGTAATCTAATCAAGGGGAGAGGCAAC